GGATACAAATGTCTGAAGCCTGCTACACGTGAAAAAAACACCTGCACAAAGCTTGTAAAACGCCCAAAAACATGCTTCACAATTACTAGAATTACGCTCTGATCAGGTGTTAATGTCGGCTGAAGCTGGCCAAAAATGGATAGACTATCGAACAGAAAATCTTGGGAAAAGTCCTAGGAAAATTTGTACGAAAATTCTCATGTTGTTTGAAAGATTTTGTTTGCTTTTAACATTTGATTTTGGGAAGAATGAACTTTATTGAACAAAAACCAAATACGATGTTAGAAATCTGTTCCTTTCCGATTCCATCCTGCTCCTTTGAATTTTATCATCACCGTGGTCAAAAACAACCATCAAGTTGACCCCACTAATGATTATAAAAACTAAATTTTCTCACAACATTCATTTCCTAAGATTTTATTTTGAAATTCTACCCATCTAAGGTAAGTTTTAGTATTAACCCAAGTCATTTATCCAAACAAAGCTTCTTTGAGGCCCAAGATAGCAGCAAGCAAATAATACATTAAAACTACGAACTATAGTCTGTACAGTAAAAGAATAACAAATTAAATAAATAAAAAAAAAAACAAACAAAAAAAAAAACAAAAACACAGAAACAACATAATATACTAATGATATCAAAATAAAATTCACATACCAAATAGGCGAGATATCCTGCGGTTTAATCCTTCAAAACGGCCCCTTTCATCAAACATTTTGTATCAACTGGAGCCTGTGCTCCTTTTCCTTCTCCTTCCAATACAGTGCAGTGTCTTCTCTACATGAGATGTGTGTGTGGGGAGAGGTGTGGACGGACTGACATCATTCTATCACCTACAATCTCCCAAGCCGCCCTTCTCTTTCTCCGCCTCTAGACAGGAAACTAGACGTCAAAAGATGCACTTTCCTTCCTCCCACTGAAATCACACCGAAAGGTGTTTCCAGGTACATTAGATGTCTCTTTAGAATAGAAGCTCAATCCCTGAATTGAGCACACGTGGCTCACCTGATTTGGAAAGTTTCATTAAGAAAAATTGGCAGGTTTTAGGCCAGGTCCACACCTATGCAGGTTGCGTTTGAGCCGTTTCTGCATTGCGTTTTTTTTATTTTTCACTTTTTTTATTTTTCTTGTTAGGCAGTTTTAAAATGCAAAACACATAAAAAACGCAGCAAAAACGCACTACATGCTTCTCTGCAACATTTCCGTTGAAGTCTATAGAACCAAAAACACAACATTTTGCATTAAAAAAAAAAGTCCCTGACCCTTTCCAAAAAAACGCACCGGGTGAAATGCCAAGATGCGAACAAGTCCCATAGGAAATCGTGTTAAATGGACTGTAATGCGCTTCTGCGCAGCGCTGTGGAAAATGCTTAGGTGTGAACCTAGGGTAAATAGCAATGCTTTGAACAGGTAGAACACAAGATTTGTGACAATAGATCGCATACACATCCGATTTTAGGATGTGTATGCGAAAATGTTTGCCATAAAAAATCAAGTAGAACAAAAAGAAAGACACGAGTCTAAACTCAATTACAATAAAACCATTCATAAAAGCAAAAGATCATCTGTAATTAGTGGGTTCATCAAAACACAGATTCAATGGCAACGCATAAAAAACAATGCACATACTGCTGAACTGCATTGACCAAGTCCAAAAATTGTCTGACAACCGCATTCTGCTGTCAGTGCCTTGATAAGTGGTTGTTAAGGTCAAATATGAATTGGGAAAGTCAGTCCAGATATACTGAACATGTGCATATCAGGTCATTTCCTAAATAAAAGATTACACGCGTACCTGTATCCAAACTCATCTACCTGTAAGTACTAAGCTGCCATATCTAATACATAAACATGGTACCAGTGGGGTTTTTTTTTTTTTTGAGTGTGCCAAATCTGGTGAAGTTCTGTGTAGAAATTTCCAGCTTCCAGTTCTTTTTGTCAAAGCCTAATTAAACAAGCTGAAGTTAGAAGCGGATTGGCTACTATGCACAGTTGCACCAGACTGTGTACTCTCCAGTTTTAGTAAATCAACCCTGTGTATGTATTCTTCCTTTTTGGTTTCTTATCATTCCTATAGACTGTATACGCTATATTTATATATATATATATATATATATATATATATATATATATAAAATACAAAGATGGGATACCAAGAAAAAAAAAAACACACCCTTTGCCTAAAAACTGATTTAATTTCACATTTTCCATTGAAATCAGCTGTGAACTCTCGATGGGATACTCAGCAAGGCACATTTTCCTGGGTAATAGAAGTTCTAGGACTCTGATGACATGACAGCAGGAGACCACTTGTAAAAAAGGTTTACAAGTTTACAAGGTTTACAAAAGCCTCCCCCACTACAGGACATGTGTTTAGCAGATTGAAATGCATATGAAGATTAGCAGACTTGGCAGCTCAATGGTTAAAGATGAACTCTAGGAATTTTTAGTCTTTTTTTTTTTTTTTTTTTAAGTGCCACACGTTAAATAAGTGACCTTTAATTAAAGTCCCATTCTGACCTAAAATGACCTTTATCCCATCTGTCTCCCACCCCCCCTAACCCATCCTACTAGGCAATTTTTTACCCTTACATAGTGAAGCTGGACATACTCACCTAAGTCCTCCTCCAGGTCATCACTTGTTCAGAATGCAAATGGAGCCTGAGGTCCCTGGTCTCCTACTGGCCCCCCTCACCCTTTGATGATGTCTTCTTCTTATGGAACTCCCCCTCCAGGTCCCTTGCCATCACTTGCTCAGAATGCAAATAGAGCCTGAGGTCCCTGGTCTCCTACTGCCCCCCCCCCCCCCTTTTGATGATGTCTTCCTCTTATGGAAGTCCCCGTCCAGGTCCCTTGCCATCACTTGCTCAGAATGCAAATGGAGCCTGAGGTCGCTGGTCTCCTACTGCCCCCCCCCCCCTTTGATGATGTCTTCCTCTTATGGAAGTCCCTCTCCAGGTCCCTTGCCACCACATGCTCAGAATGCAAATGGAGCTTGAGGTCGCTGGTCTCCTACTGCCCCCCCCTTTTGATGATGTCCTCCTCTTATGGAAGTCCCTCTCCAGGTCCCTTGCCACCACTTGGTCAGAATACAAATGGAGCCTGAGGTCCCTGGTCTCCTACTGACCCCCCCCCCCCCCCATCCCCTTTGATGAGGTCTTCCTCGTATGAGTATGGACTGGCCCTTGCTGGGCTTCCAATAAGAAGTGTCTAAGTCATGCAAGCACTGACGCAGATACCCGATGATGGTCCCAAGTAGGAAGTAAACAGAAGTGGAGAAGACTTGGGGGTGATCAGATTGAGGGGGGGGGGAGCAAAATGGAGCTTTAGGAACTAGGCCTGTGTTCCACAGACCCAAAGGTGGTTAGCTGTAACTCAATATAAATAAAACACACACACATTCACACTGTATATATTATTTATCGAATTGTATAATGAATATATATATTCATAATCTAGTTATTCACTGCAATTTATTCCCAGCATTTGATATTTCGATTTGATCTCATCTTTTCATGGACAAGTCCATAATTACAAACCTCTTGATGTGAAATGTACCATCACAGTCACATGGTCCATCTTTTCCTTTATTGTCATTTTTGGCCTCATGGTTAATGGAAGCCATACACCCCTCAATAAATGATCAATATCTTTTCTGATCAATCTCTTCTGACTGGAACAATAGATCTATATTTGACAACCCATTTGATTGAAATCCATCGAATATCCATGGCATATCAATCAATAATTAAGATGCTATCTTAACATACAATTGTAAGTCATCTATGACATCTCTGTTCACCCCATATAATCTTATAACCTGATCGATTGAAATAGGACTTTATTCATGAACAATGTAACTTGCTGCTGCCAATCCCTGCAAAATGAATGATAATCATCTACTCTGGCCGATCAACTCCGAATCCATTTGAAATTGAGTCTAAATCTATCAGAATGAAATTTAATGGCGCTTTGTTGTTTTGCACATTTAATTGTTTTGACTGAATTGCAGATCGATTGGATAAAAAAATTGCAGCGTGTATGGCCACCAGTATTCTGTGATCCTGGCCTTGTCCACAGTGCAGTACAGCTTGGAATGACACGATTAGTCACTAAGGTGTAAACATTACTCATAATTAGAATGGAAGACTCCGCACCTCCAAAATACTGACGTTTCCTACATACATTAGCTGTGCCCCTCAGGTCTAGGCTTGCTTACAGGATTCTGTCGACAGGAAAAATATTCATACTTTAGAAGTAGAACAACCCACTTAACCTTTTCCCTGCAAGAATCGTGCTGCTAGGGTTGGCCAGATACAAGAAATCACCTAATTCACACAGAAAAGTCCCAGCCCCTCCTCGATGAATCATACCAGATAGCAAAAGCATTGTGCTATGTCACCTGTCCCTGCCATGTCACCTGTCCCCTGACATGTCACCTGTCCCCTGCGGTTATGCCATTTCCTCTACAAGGCACAGATAAAGTTCACTTGAGCAAGTAAATGGTGGATTGAAAAAAAAAAAAAAAAAAACCCAGATGTGACATTTTTAGCCAGGTTAAAAAAAAAATGAAGCTGTGTATAAAACTGCAAACATTCACTTAGTATAGCATAGAATAGTGTAGTACAGGTGTCTCCAAAATTTCTAAACAAATGGCCACTTTATTGTCCTTCAGACTTTAAGAGTAGCCAGTGGCAGTGGACATTTTCCTGGAATCAGTGATAGTAAACATTGCCACATTTGGTATAAGGGACAGGAATTGTGCCCCATCATTGGTGTCAGTGGGAGGAAGAATACCCCATCATTGGTGTCATTTGGAGGAAGAGTGTCCCATCATTGCTGTCAGTGGGAGGAAGAATGCCCCATCATTGGTGTCAGTGGGAAGAAGAGTACCCCATCATCGGTGTCATTGGGAGGAAGAGTGCCCCATCATCGGTGTCATTGGGAGGAAGACTGCCCCATCATCGGTGTCATTGGGAGGAAGACTGCCCCATCATAGGTGTCAGTGGGAGGAAGACTGCCCCATCATAGGTGTCAGTGGGAGGAAGAGTGCCCCATCATCGGTGTCAGTGGGAGGAAGAGTGCCCCATCATCGGTGTCAGTGGGGGAGTAAGAGTGCCCCATCATCGGTGTCAGTGGGAGGAAGAGTGCCCCATCATCGGTGTCATTGGGAGGAAGTGTGCCCCATCATAGGTGTCACTGGGAGGAAGTGTGTCCCATCATTGGTGTCATTGGGAGGAAGAGTGCCCCATCATCGGTGTCATTGGGAGGAAGAGTGCCCCATCATCGGTGTCATTGGGAGGAAGAGTGCCCCATCATCGGTGTCATTGGGAGGAAGAGTGCCCCATCATCGGTGTCAGTGGGAGGAAGAGTGCCCCATCATTGGTGTCAGTGGGAGGAATAGTGCCCCATCATTGGTGTCAGTGGGAGGAAGAGTGCCCCATCATTGGTGTCAGTGGGAGGAAGAGTGCCCCATCATTGGTGTCAGTGGGAGGAAGAGTGCCCCATCATTGGTGTTATTGGGAGGAAGAATGCCCCATCGTCGATGTCAGTTGGAGGAATAGTGCCCCATCGTTGATGTCAGTTGGGGGATGTCAGCGCACGACTAAAATGGATGGAAATGTACATTAATTTTACATCCATTTAGTGCAAGTCAGTGTGAAGTGGCCCTTACAGCAAACAGCCTCTCTCCTTTTTTGGATAAAGGTTATACATTAAAAAAAAGCTGATCATCGTAAGCACCCGTCAGTATTAATCTGTTTGTCTCATCCCTCTAACTGCTATATATTCAGGACAGGTTGGTCTATTGAAAAACAATACACTTACTGGCCAGATCACCAGGTGAAAATAAAATTAAGAAAGCAGAAAAATGAAAACTAATGCAGTCTTCACATCTAAGATTTGGCAAGCTGCAATAAAATAATAAAAAATGTCCTTTTCTGGTTTAATATAAAAAAAAATCAGTTATTTATAAATAAATAAATAAACAGAAGTGGAAAAGAATAGAAGTTGACAGGCTGCTGGCAGTGAGACTGAATGGCGTACCTGTATCCTCCACCCGCACCTAAATGCCGTAGCCTCATGCATTGTGGCTAAACTTCCAGTGTGCATGGGTCCTTACATTTTTGTTCCCGTCAGAATACCCCCTCCTCCCCAACATATTTTGCCTCCATCATTGTCTCCCCACACATCTGTGTCACAGGAGCCTCCACAAAATATTTGTGTCCCCATAAAAGTCCTCCTCGCACATTTGCGTCCCAATAACCCATCAGAATCTCCCTGCAAACCAGTGTCCCCATCAGAGCCCCTCACACATTTATATAACCATCAGAGCCCTCCCTGTACAACTGTATCCCCTTCAGAGCCCCCAACACATTGGTGCCCCCATTAAAATCCCCGACACATCTGGGTCCCTATCAGAGCCTCCAACACATCTGTGCCCCCATAAGAGTCCCCAACACATTTGTGCCCCCTTTAGTGTCCCCAACACATTTGTGCCCCCTCCAGAGTCCCCGACACATTTGTGCCCCTATTAGAGTTCCCGACACATCTGTGTCCCCTTTAGTGTCCCCAACACATTTCTGCCCCCTTTAGTATCCCCAACACATTTGTGCCCCCATCAGAGTCCCTGACACATATGTGCCCCCATTATAGTTCCCGACACATCTGTGTCCCCATCACAGTCCCCTACATGTGTGCCCCCATTAGTGTCTCCGACACATTTGCGCCCCCATTAGTGTCCCCAACACATTTGTGCCCCATTAGTGTCCCCGACACATCTGTGCCCCCACTAGAGTTCCTGACACATCTGTGTCCCCATCACAGTCCCCAACACATTTGTGCCCCCATTAGTGTCCCTGACACATTTGCACCCCCATTAGAGTCCCCGACACATCTGTGTCCCCCATCAGAGCCCCCCGACACATCTGCGTCCCCCATCAGAGCCCCCGACACACCTGCGTCCCCCATCAGAGCCCCCGACACACATGTCCCCCCATCAGAACTCCCAAGACATTTGTGCTCCCATTATAGTCCCCGACACATCTGTATCCCCCTCAAAGACTCCCACATACATGAGACCCAATCACAGCCCCACCCACAATTGTATCCGCATAGAGCCCCCCCACTCACATTTGTGTCCCCATCAGCGCCCCCCACTCACATTTGTGTCCCCATCAGCGCCCCCCTGTGAACTTCCAGATTTTTTATGTCCCTTTGTCATGAACATGTTTGGAGGACTGTAAGGTTTATTGCTACACCTTTAAATAAGGATTGATTAAAAAAACAATATAAAAAACCTCCCAGTAAAGAGACATCTTTCATTGCATTAGATAGAGTAGAGTAGTGCAATTATGGGAGCGAACACAGCTAAGAGGCTGAGAATCTACCCACACACAATAAACATGAAGAAGCTGAAGACTTGGCAGAGAATGCCCATTTCTCCCATCATGAGCTACTGAAGGAGCGAAGAGATGACTCTATCATGTGCTGGGTGGGGTCCCAGCAATTTCCTGCCAGAAAGGAATCCTCCTGCAAGGCAATCAGCCAACATCGTATTTAAACTTCTTTCCTGAACCACTAATTATCTGCATACATTGCATCACTGAATCTCAAAATTTTACCATGTGTGTTTTAACAAAATTATAATACAGACCTACACACACACACACAAAAAAAAAAAAAAAAAAAAAAAATGTACAGTTCAGCAGGAACCAGCCACATTTCAATTCATGTATGGCTGTGCCAGTTCAAGAGGAGTTTCTTTAAGACTGCATTCACACTTGAGTGGTTTGTGGCTTGAAGCTCGAAGCTCCAAAAAAGCTCAAACTTAAAAAATCAACTTTAATAAAAATTATTAGTGCTGCGCTCCTGTGTTATTTACCCATACTGAAAATGTGATAGTAAATGAATAAATAATATCAAACTCATACAATTTTGTGATGTGCATGTGCAAACGGTGTTGGGGAGAAAGGGGAAAAAAAAAAAATTCCCCCTGATGAAGCCACATGACCCGGTGGCGTAACGCGTAGGGGAGGGGCTCTGACATCACCACGATCTGTCAGATAGTCTACGGCGAGTATAAGAAGTGTGCAGAGCACACACACAGGCTGATTACTAGAGGCATGGTTTTATTGTTTAAAATGTGAGTGGGACCTGTATTGACATATTAAAGTGTTTTAAAAGGATAAGGCACCATTTCTTCTTCTTTTCTTTTTGGCAAACATGTATGTGGAGTTCTGGAAGGGATAAGAGGAGAGATAGATCCCTGGAGGTGAGACATCCATCCATTCTCATCCAGCACAGTGAGCATATATTTGGAGAACTACCAGGTGGAATATTTATATACTGCTATGAGGAATTACCCTTGAAGGACTGTTTGGAGCATGATTAGTTACATCTGTCCTTTAGGACAAAAGCGATTTTAGCCTAATATTTTGGGCTAACAAGGAGGTGAGCGCATAATAGAGCAGTATTTATTGGTTTTGTCCACTTATTGACTATCACAGGTTTCTTCCATCTCTCAAGAGGACTGTTCATTGTATACGGACATTTCTGGAGATCACAATTGTTTATCATATTGAAAAGTTTTTTTTCCCCCTTTTTCCCCAACACCGTTTGCGCATGCACATTAATCACAAAATTGTATGAGTTTGATATTATTTATTCATTTACTATCACATTTCAGTATGGGTAAATAACACAGGAGCGCAGCACTAATAATTTTTATTAAGATTTTTTGGCACTGTTTATGAGTTAGTGTGTGCAGCTAGCGAACCACATGTGTATTCATTTTTTTATTTTTTTATGATTGATTAATATAGCACATTTTTGATTATCACCATATTAGCTCACAAGTATTATTAGCACTTGATTAAAAAATCAATTGTTCTCTAAGGTGCCTGTTCACACCTGATCCTGCGAACAGACACCATAGAGAACAACTGATTTTTTAAGTTTGAGCTTTTTTGGAGCTTTGAACTTCAAGATACAAAACGCTCAAGTGTGAGTGCAGCCTAAGGATTGACTCCTTGCAAATGGAATTGTTGGTATATTTTCACTTGAGCAGTACTTGCAGCCAATCAGAAACAGCTGTGTAATCTGACAGTGAAGGAGTCCCTCAGTCATAATACAATAGCACAGTGGGGGGATTCCCCCATAAACCTTGAATGTGTGGCTGGAAGAACCAGTCTGTTTTCTTTTTTGATCCACCTATTGCCAGCTTTAGACTTATTAAAACCTGTTTGTTGTGAAGAAGAAAATCTACCAATCTGGCTCCATGTATCACTCTTTATCTAACTTGGGTATTAGGGTTCTCTCACATCGCAATGATAAGTTGATGTGCGTTGGCATGCTGCGTTGTGTTTTAACATGCATTTTCACTTTCTGGAACATGCAAAGGGTCTGTGGTATGGCAGGAGATCCAAACTTGTGCTGACCCGCTTTTCTTCCTGTTCGCTCATGTGCACTAACCATGCGTTGCACTGAAAGAAAGAAGGGTTTGATCTACTTTTTTTCCCCCACTGCAAACCAGCGTGTATCTGCGCAACACAACATTGCTTTCATTCACATACGCTATTTTTACAGGTCTTTACAATGACACACATTGAAAAAAATGTACCAACACTTCTGGTGTGAATGGACTCTTAGTTGAGAGATAGGAGCCAATTGGTTGCTGTGGAAAGCAGCCCTGTTTAGTCTTTTTCTTAGTTCCTTTAAATCGTTGGTTCACCTTTTCATTTTTTTCTGTAAAGGAGAACTATCACCACCACCCCCTCGTCTCTAATGCACATACAAGATGTATGGGCACAGATACACTGACAGGTCTGCAGGAGACCTTCATGACACCAGCAATCTGCTGATCGCTGGTGCAATGCATAAGAGGCTCCAGAAGCAAAAAATAAAAATGTGCATTTATTATTTTTGATAAAAGGTGAACTTATCCTTTAAGCCATCTGGTACTGGAGATTTATTTGTTTGTCAAGCCTTTTTGAATACTGGCTTCTGTTAGCCACGAGGGTACATTCTGTGTTGTCTTACTAACAATACTGTCTTGTGTACTATACCCCTCCTTTTCTTTAGTAAAAACCGAGAAGAATGTTTGTTTAACACAGTTGTCTTTTCCCCGTCACTTGTAACCATTTTCCATTCTTCATGGGGCATGGGGCAAATATGCTCTGACCTCGCCTTCTTACTATTAATACCTTAGATTGTACGCCCCTTGAGGGTTATGAACTGATGTGAATGTACAATATACAGTGGGGCAAAAAAGTATTTAGTCAGCCACCAATTGTGCAAGTTCTCCCACTTAAAAAGATGAGAGAGGCCTGTAATTGGCATCATAGGTAGACCTCAACTATGAGAGACAAAATGAGAAAAAAAATCCATACAATCACATTGGTTGATTTGGAAAGAATTTATTTGCAAATTATGGTGGAAAATAAGTATTTGGTCAATATCAAAAGTTCATCTCAATACTTTGTTATATATCCTTTGTTGGCAATGACAGGTCAAATGTTTCTGTAAGTCTTCACAAGGTTGGCACACACTGTTGCTGGTATGTTGGCCCATTCCTCCATGCAGATCTCCTCTAGAGCAGTGATGTTTTGGGGCTGTCGCTGGGCAACACAGACTTTCAACTCCCTCCAAAGGTTTTCTATGGGGTTGAGATCTGGAGACTGGCTAGGCCACTCCAGGAGCTTGAAATGCTTCTTACGAAGCCACTCCTTCGTTGCCCGGCGGTATGTTTGGGATCATTGGCATGTTGGAAGACCCAGCCACGTTTCATCTTCAATGCCCTTGCTGATGGAAGGAGGTTTGCACTCAAAATCTCACGATACATGGCCCCTTTCATTCTGTCCTGTACATGGATCAGTCGTCCTGGTCCCTTTGCGGAGAAACAGCCCCAAAGCATGATGTTGCCACCCCCATGCTTCACAGTAGGTATGGTGTTCTTTGGATGCAACTCAGTATTCTCTCTCCTCCAAACATGACGAGTTGTGTTTCTACCAAACAGTTCTATTTTGGTTTCATCTGACCATATGACATTCTCCCAATCCTCTTCTAGATCATCCAAATGCTCTCTAGCAAACTTCAGATGGGCCCGGACATGTACTGGATTAAGCAGGGGGACACGTCTGGCACTGCAGGATCTGAGTCCCTGGCGGCGTAGTGTGTTACTGATGGTAGCCTTTGTTATGTTGCTCCCAGCTCTCTGCAGGTCATTCACTAGGTCCCCTGTGTGGTCCTGGGATTTTTGCTCACCGTTCTTGTGATCATTTTGACCCCACGGGGTGAGATCTTGCATGGGGCCACAGATCGAGGGAGATTAATCAGTGGTCTTGTATGTCTTCCATTTTCTAATTATTGCTCCCACAGTTGATTTGTTCACACCAAGCTGCTTGCCTATTGCAGATTCAGTCTTCCCAGCCTGGTGCAGGTCTACAATTTTGTTTCTGGTGTCCTTCGACAGCTACTTGGTCTTCACCATAGTGGAGTTTGGCGTGTGACTGTTTGAGGTTGTGGACAGGTGTCTTTTATACTAATAACAAGTTCAAACAGGTGCCATTGATACAGGTAATGAGTGCAGGACTTACAGGAAACGTTTGACCTCTGTCATTGCCAACAAAGGATATATAACAAAGTATTGAGATGAACTTTTGATATTGACCAAATACTTATTTTCCACCATAATTTGCAAATAAATTCTTTCCAAATCAGCCAATGTGATTGTATGGATTTTTTTTTTCTCATTTTGTCTCTCATAGTTGAGGTCTACCTATGATGCCAATTACAGGCCTCTCTCATCTTTTTTAAGTGAGAGAACTTGCACAATTGGTGGCTGACTAAATACTTTTTTGCCCCACTGTATATATGTAAAGCGCTGCATAAATTGATGGCGCTATATAAGTACTTGTAATAAATAAATGTATTTAAAACATGTTAGGGGATTTTTTTCATGGTGTATTGTTGCTGCCATGATCAAGCTTTTACATTTCTTATTGCATGCTTTGTAGTGTTGGAATGCTGATGGTGGCCCCTTGGCCATATATTTTTTTGAAGGATAGTTTTGTTTTCTCTTTAATATTCCTTTTTATACCAGAGTTTAGCCACCCACGTTTATCTTTAGTTCTTTTATATTTGTTGCACATTAGAATTCTCTGGTTAATGCCATTAACTAATATGTTGTATAAACACCCTAATTTATCCTTGTTGTTCTTTGCTTGTAGAATCTCTTTCATGATTACATCCATTTACATTGTTCAAAGGAGCCACAATGGAGCAATGTTATGCAATCATAAAAAGAATGTGTATTCCAAAAGGAAGAAACAGATTGCATTCCAGAGACAGCTATAAAATACAAAAATTGTACCCACTTATTCTCACTATTCTAGAGAAGGTCTTAACAGCAGGGGTTAGGTGGACAAGAAAGACCATATAAATACGCAGTCTAGGTTCCCACTTGTGCAGCTATTTTTGTTATGCAATTTGTAAACCGTTTTAATGTTTCATGCGTATTCTTGTTTTGGCCAATGACAGGAAATATTTGCTATGATGTCATTAGGAGTCTCTTTCTTTTGAGATTCCTGCTTCCTCTGTCTGCTGTTTGCTGTGTGTGGTTGTAATGCAATCTTGTGTCATGGCCAATGTTTAGAGAAGCAGCCACAGCTATTGACTTGATGGAAGAAGAGGCGGAGAAGAGGGCAACATGTCACAGTCCTCAAACAGTTCAATTTCCTCCCAGGCCATTGAATGCTTGCTGCAATCTTGTATTGGTGGTGGCTGGGATCATACAGCAATGGCCTCGCTCTGACCAGGTGGATGAAGGCCTTGCCATAAGGCATTTTGTGGCCTTGTTTCGCTACCATCTCTGCAGCCTGTGTAGAGTAGAAGTTACTAGGGGAGAAGCCCTGTTGTTATAGCCAAAAAACACGTATATTATTTCATAAAAGCTTAAGTTTAGTCAAAACAAAAAAAACAAAAAAAACCAGCACAAGGAACTATGCTTACCCACTTGCCTACCTGACACTTATACCCCCTTCCTTACTAGGCCAATTTTCAGCTTTCAGCACTGTCACACTTTGACAATTGTGCAGTCATGCAAGATTGTACTCATATGAAATTTTTATCATTTTTTTCTCACAAATAGAGCTTTCTTTTGGTGGTATTTAATCGTCGCTGGGCACTTTACTTTGTGCGCTATAAACAAGCGCAAAAAATAAAAAAATAAAAAATGTTTTCTTTGTTTCTATTATAACATTTTTCAAACAGGTAATTTTTCTCCTTCACTGATGTGCGTTGATGAGGCAGCACTGATGGGTGGCACTGATAGGCAGCACTAATGAGGTGGCACGGATAGGCGGCACTAATGAGGTGTCATGGATAGGTGGCACTGATAAGCGGCACTGATGATGGGTACTGATAGACAGCACTGATAGGTGGCACTGACTGGCGGCACTGCTAGGCACTGACTGGCACAACCGCTGGGCACTGACTGGCACAACCGCTGGGCACTGACTGGCACAACCGCTGGGCACTGATTGGTGGCACTGACTGGCAGCACTGCATTGATGGGCACTGGTGGGTGGCACTGCTGGACACAGGTAGGTGGCACTTCTGGGCACAGGTGGGTGCACTGCTGGGCACAGGTGGGCGGAACTGGTGGGTGGCACTGCTGGGCACCGATCATCAGGGCACTGATGATCAGTGCTGATCCCCGCCCTGACAACTGCCGGTCCTCGGCAGTACTTTCCTCGCGCTCTGACAACGTGAGGAAAGTGCAGCCGAGAACCGGCAATTGCATTTCCCGGTGATCAGCGTGCCAGAACTGGCCGGCCGCAGTGTAGCCGTCATTCAGCTATCTGCGGTTGGCAAGTAGTTAATTTCCACCCCCCTCCTCCATTCACAGATGCTATATTATAGCTTCCATGGATTAAAAATGATTTATGAACAATTAGATTTATTGTTTTGAAGGGAGGTCATAGTTGGCACTCTTGATGACTGCATAGGACAGGCCCCTTGGCAACATTAACCCATGCAGCACCAGAAGATTATGAAAGGGGGGGATTGTCAGAGGTTGGAAGATTTCAACTGAATTGGCAACCATCAGTGCTGGGGACAGTTCACATTGATTGCAAGTATTGTTCCTTGTGCTGATTTTTTTAAAAAATGTTTTGACATAACAGAAGGTAGGACTATATGAAAAAAAAAAATTGTTTTGGATAGAATAGGGGAGGGTACTAACCCATCAGTTTATTTTTTGCCATCTGTGTCCTTTTGGGGAGATTTACCTTCACTTCCTGTCCCATATCCAAAACTTGAAGCAAGAGAAAATCCCTGCAAATTAATGGAATTCCTTGGCGACTCCCAGGTCACCAGAACTACTGACCCCATTAGAAAATTTCCCTTCTTACTTTTCTTTTACTTTTGATGATAATGATAAACAGGACAAATAGAGAGGGTGAATCTCTCTAACTGGGACACAGACCGCAATAAAAAACCCGACAGGTGTTCTAATCCCTCTCCACTATATCCAAAACCTAAAAGTTTTGCCTTTAGTTATACTTTACAGCGATTCTAAAGGTTAACTTTTTTTTTGGAAAATAATAAACATGCTATACTTAAGCCCCGTTCATACAATGAGAATATCGGACAAACAATCGTCCGTTTTTTTTCGCCTGCTAGTCTCACATCGAAATTGAAAGGTTACTAAAGATACGAAAATTCTCGTACGAAAGAAAAGAATTTGGAAACTGATGTCACGTATTTGTATTGTATTTTCAGACGACTACTGTACTGAAAAAACGAAAATCGTACAATCTGGTATAAATTTTCGCACTGGTCCCTTCGGATATCGTCGCACGAATTGTCGCGATAGGCTCTCAAAAGCTGTATACTAACGATCCAATTATTGGACGAACGGTCCTCGCATGAAAATTTTCGGACAATTTTCTTATCGTGTGTACGGGGCATCACCTGCTGTGTGTTGTGGTTTTGCACAGAGCAGCCTGGATCCTCCTCCTTGGATCCCCTGCAGGCTCTCCTGGCCCCTCCCTCCTGTCAGGTGCCCCCATAGCAGTTTGCTATGGGGGCACCTGCTGCTCCATGTGTCCATTCACACATTGCACCAAGCTGATCCAAAGAAGCAAAAAAGTGCAAGAAGCATTTTCATATGGATAAGAGCAAATCACAGAGATGTAAACAGACCCCATAGGAAAAGTTGGGCTTCCTCATGTCACGCAACACACAAAAATTGCACAGATGTGATCGGGGGTTTAATTATTGGCAAAAAACACACAAAATGAGGCATGGAGGAGCTCACCTATGAGGAAAGATTAGAGGAACTGAATTTATTCTCTCTTGAGAAGAGGAGATTAAGGGGGGATATGATCAACATGTATAAATACATCAGTGGTTCATATAGTGAACTCGGTGTAGAGTTATTCACCCTGAGGTCATCACAGAGGACAAGGGGGCACTCTTTACGCCTGGAGGAAAAGAAATTTAAATCTCCAAACATGGAAAGGTTTCTTTACAGTGAGAGCTGTGAAGATGTGGAATAGACTCCCTCAAGAGTTGGTTCTGGCCAGCTCAGTGGATTGCTTTAAAAAAGTCCTGGATTCTTTCTTAGATACACAGAATATAACTGGCTGCTAACATTTATAAAGTTGGCGGTGTGACGTCTGGACTCCACAGCTCTTTTCCTTACGCGTTTCGTGCTAAATGCACGTATTCATAGGGAGTGTGCTTGCGAGGATCACAATCCACAGTAAAGGGCCAATCACAGAAGCCATTTACCACGTGATCAGCCGTGTCCGATCACAGCTGATCACGATGTAAAACATACTTGTCGGGAGTACTTTCCTTATGCTGTCACAGCGTGAGGAAAGTACTGCCAATAACCAGGAAGTACAAAAGGTTTCTTCAAAGTGAGAGCTGTGAAAATGTGGAATAGACGCCTGGAATTTTTCTTGGATACACAGAATATAACTGGATACTAACATTTATAGGTAAAGTTGATCCAGGGAATATCCGATTGCCTCTCGGGGGATCAGGAAGGATTTTTTTTCCCTGCAGGAGCAAATCAGGTCCTGCTTTGCTGGATTGTATTGCCTTCCTCGATCAACTGTGGGTATAGGATTATAACTTTTTTTTTTTAATGGTTGAACTGGATGGACTTTTGTCTTTTTACAGCCAGACTAACTATGTAACTATGTAAAATAAAACAACCAAACAGGTGACCGTATTCATTCTTAGCCTGTGGAAGAAACATAACAGATGGAGTGCGATTTGTTATATGCACTGTTATTAGCAGTCGTTCCAGTCGGAACCATTAGCAGAAATTTTTTTCCTTGTCTTTCGTCTTCTAACGGGGATCCGGAAATGTCCAGATATGCAGCCATTAAAAAAAAAAAAAAAAAAACGCTGAAAACTATGTTTTCAATGTAAACTGAAGCTGTTTAGTTGGACATGAGTAGCATTTCTCTTGCTAATTTCCACAATTAAGTAAAACCAATGTATCCTAATTCTTCTGGAGAACAGCATGCATTTCCCACGCTGATTAAAGTCATTTGTAATGCTACTTCAAACAAAACAAAGCTAAAAACAGAGCACGTTTAGATTTTCCTGGATAGACCCGGCAGCTAAAGTGTATTCTGACATGAAAGTCATTCAGTGTGGTCAATAAACATCACCAAGTGACATCACGGCATGTATTTTACTTGCGGCATTTCCTTTGAGTTCACAGGTCAGTCATGATCATTTATATTCGAAGTGGAGTTATAAACAACATGTTCTATGGTTTCCTAATAATTGGTGTACACATCTATTTCATGTCTCCACCGCCGCCTCTCTCATCCCTAGCTCATGGTACATTTGCTTGGCCAGTAAAGCTGGCCATAGATGGCCGGTTCAGCAAGGGCCAGCCGCAGTTCAATCCATCTATGGCCGTTCCCTTTTACAACCTAATGACTGACTTTGCATTTGGGTTTGTTGGAAAGTTTTGCTTTGATCAGCACATGCAGCCAATGGACTGTGGCCTTGATAAGCACAGTTTGATGGCGGGGGATTCCCACTGTCAGAATACAAAGAAACAGCAGGAAGGATTCCTGAATCCACCTCCTCAAATGTGTGGATGGAGAAATTGGTTCAGTTTTTTTGTGCATCCCACCGACTGAACGAAAAAAAACAGACATTGTTTGGCCAGTTTAAATGTCATTAAACCCACATCATAAAAAACTATCAATAAATGCTGCATTACATGCGGTTCGTACTCAGTCACTAAGATTCGTTTTCTGTATTTTGAAGAAAAAAAAAAAACAAACCCTGGTTTATCCTGCTGTTCTCTAACTTCCACTTCTGTCCATGTCTCCAGTGCAGTTGGGGATTTTGCAGAGCAGTGTTAGCAGCTACTGCACATGCTCAGTTTTCAGCGAGTTTCTATGCTGAACATTTCCTCCCCATCATATTTGAACAGTCCATGTGACTATAGAGTCACATTTATGGGTGTGTACAGTGGTAAATGAAAGCCCCTCCCTCCTCCATGCCCACTAACCAGCTAAACACAATGGGGGTGGGATATTACATCTTGATTGATGGAGGCTTCATATTGTAAGACACAGGCTGAAGGGGCATTACACAGCCTGTCAATGGCAGAAATCCTCCAACACCATTTTATTAACAAAAAAAGATTTGGTTTCAAATATATAATTTGTATGACCATTTAAAACAGTTTATTGATGTGAATTACTTATTTTTATTCTGTATCCCAAACGCTGTTTTTTTTTTTTTTTTTTTTATTTTGAACATGTGACCAGCAACAGAGGACTAGAACAGGGGTGTCAAACTGGCTGCCCTCCAGCTGTTGCGAAACTACAAGTCCCATCATGCCTCTGCCTTTCGGAGTCATGCTTATAACTGTCAATCTTGCAATGCCTCATGGGACTTGTAAATTGGCAACAGCTGGAGGGCCGTCAGTCTGACACCCGTGGACTAGAAGCTCCTCCTGCTTGTGTTTCCCTGCAGACAGGCTGGGAAAGAGCTGGGTCATGTGATAGCTGTATATCGATTGGGAAAAAAGGTACTTGGATTTGTTTTCAATTAAAAAATAATTACAGTGCCATCATCCACATACAGAAAGAAAATGGACAATCTAAATTAAACAGTGTGTGTTTAGTATCACTTCAAGTTGTAACAATAGTTCCGGCCTCCCCTCCCAAAAATTAAAAGTCAGCAGCTACAAATACTGTAGGTGCTGATTTTTAATATCAGGGCACTTACCTGTCCAGAGATTCAGCGGTGTCCTCACCCTGCTCATCGCACTGGCATCTTTTCCTTTAAATACTGTGGACCAGCAGGAGTGCCAGGCAACTAGCATTTTCAGAAGCAGAATTCCGCAACCTCTGTATTTATATCCATACAGTCTCCTTTAATCGCTGGGATGTCTACTACTGTAATCCTTTCTATAGATTCCACCAAGTGTACACCACCACATCTGGTTTCTGCAGTGGGCAGACTGTTTAAAGGGAAACCATAATCTTTTATTTCATTTGCTTTTCACACACTCATGCAATCTCTGTTTTACAAAGAACCATTTGAAGTGGTCATGTCACCACTAAAACTTGAAAACACCTGCAAAACAAGGCTTAGGCTGGCCATAAAATAATCATTTGGTTTTTTTTGCTCAACCATTACACTCGATGTGGATGGGGAAATCATTCCTGCTGACAGTGAGGACCCTACCTGGCTATCAGAATACACTGCTCAGTGCTGCCAGCTATAGCCGGTGGCACTGATCATTCGGGAAAAACCAGACAGTAGATCGACTTCTGTATAACCTGCCTTCCCATGCATGGATCAAAATTTGGCCAGTCGCTGCTAAATCAGCCAAATTTTGATCCATGTATAGCCAGCTTTATACTTCCTTTCCCAGTGAATGAATTGTTAAACCTTCACTCGCTTCAAGAGCCCTGGACATGTCAGATAGCATATCCTTGAGGGTGCGCCATGGTTCTTTCCACCGACCCCTATGTCACCGCTATACACTGTAGCAATGTAGGTGGTCAACGCACAGCAGGAGACACATGTTCTTTTTGTTAATGTTCATTCATTGAGAACTTGGCCACTTTAACACATGACAAAAGATTACCAAAGTACAGCAGATACCAAATGCTCTGAATTTCTGTTTGTCTGATGAAGCCTCAGATTACGCAATCAGAGATAAGGGATGGATCACTGCTGCAAACAACCAATGCGGCACATGTGAAAGGGGTCTAGAGCTCCACCTGCTGGCTGAATATTAAACCACATAACATATTTTTAGCTATAACCATAATAAAAGAAACATATGCAAAAGCACTAGAAGCTCCTTTTAAACAGATATTGTCAATGAAAAAAAAGAATAGAAGTATCAACAGCAAATGGACATGATGGCCTTTCTATGGCACAAAATATCATATAAGATAAAAATATTTTGTACCCAAAGTGGCCCAACTATATGTGCATTGGGATACATAAGAGCGTCTAAAGCTAATATTATGAAAGCCCAAAATTGCGTGTACCGGTCTTATCTATGATGCTGAAATACACTACTGAGGCTGTCCCCATACAACACACAGAAGAGGGGGCCTTGAGAAAGATCCGTATATGTCAAAAGTAGCATTGGCGCCAATAATAGGTGCATGACTGTAGACAGTAAAGAGGAACTGAACTTTGGAACCTGTACCCCAAAAGGCAAGTAGAGGCCAAAGGATAAGACACCGGTAATGCCTGTGATTTCCCTGTAGCAAATAATTTTTCCGCATTACTGACTCACCATGCCTTGTTCTGCACTGTGTCTCTGAGTGGAGGAAGCCATCTTGGTAGAAGTAGGGCTTTGCTTCCTCACAGCAGAACCTTCAGCAAGGAGAACAGTATGACATCACCAAATCTCACTGAAAAAACTTAGGGCCGGTTCACACCTGAATCTCGGGCCACGTTCCTGTGCAATACCTATGCGACTCAGTGTGGAGCAATTTTCAGCTCATTCATTTCGATGGGCGGAAATCACACTGGATCGCAACAAATGTAGTGCAAGCAAGCACTACTTTTCAAATACACACTGTACTGGACCACATACTACTGCGGTACCATGCGATTCGGTTCAGGCAAATGCACTGTGTTTGCAATCTGCATTTGAGGTGTCATTAGGATTATACTGACACCATCAGTAGATTGCACCCCCAGTGTGTTTTGAACACTGTGCAGGAAAAATGCACAAAAACACAGGCTTCCTGAACTGTGTTCCAGTGTGAATGAGTCCTTAGTGCGGATAGCAGCAGTGCCTTAGATCCCACATTGCAGATACACTGCTTTAAGGCTGTAAGTGTGGAAGTGCCTAGGCACACTCACATACAAGGAAGCTCAGTGTCATTTTTCAGGAGCAAATCTAGACAAAGATCATCTGTAGGGTATTGCTTAGGTACAATTAACATTTCTAAATTTTCTCTATAGACGTGGCAAATCTTCCCATGTGAATTCAGTTCTACTTTAAATAATGTGACACAGCATTAGAAAGGCACTCCTTCAGAAATGTGCTCTGTATAGTGCTGTTAGAGTGTCAGCCTTATGGCAGAAGAAATAGATCCTGTTCTGTATATGGGGCTGTTGGCTATGTCCATTCCAAAAAGCAAAGGAATCCATCAACAGATCCCCTGTTAAATCGGAGTGGGTCGTCATTTTTGTGACATCCGTGTCCATTCAGTTTTGCCCTCCAGGAGTTTAAAGCAAAACTAAAGTTCTACTATCACAAACAGCAAGCAAGCAGGCTCTTTATTGCAGAACAGACACACAATGTACACCTACCTGGCTACTCACCATCTGTTCCGCTATAAAAACTGAGCTGTGCATGCGCAACTCCGCCAGCCTGGTTTCTATG